CCGAAGCTGGATATATAGCAGCGGGTAGTAGTTGCGCTCAAATTTTGTGGTTAAAACAACAACTTCGTGACTACGGACTCGATCTAGGGTGCATTCCTCTAAGATGCGACAACACCAGTGCAATTAACATTACAAAGAATCCTGTCATGCATTCAAGAACTAAACACATAGACATTCAACATCATTTCCTCCGTGATCATGTTCTTCAAGGAGATGTCGGGGTAACCTTTGTAGATACTCACGCCGGGAGAAGGCGACTTGACACTTTATAAGCCTTCTTCAGGTTAGAAGCAGCCGTCTTTGCCAGGCGTTCTTGAGCGAGATTCATCTTATCTATGAAGAAACAAAAACTAACGATCAATATACAAAAAAAATGATTATGTCGGGCGTGCAAAGAAAATAAAATCGTAAAAGTGATTAGCAAGATACACTTTAGGGTCCTCGCTCTCGAGAAGCTCATTGACACCTATCAAACCAAAGTCGTACACCACCTTCCCGTCCTTGTCGACGACCGGTTTTCCCCCTCTGCCCACATGCTGGACAGGAGGAATCCCCACGACAAAGGAAGTGAGGTAGTCAAAACTGGCCTGGTCCTCGACTCCAAGCTGACCCTTCTTCCAGACATAAACCTCTTCCCCTTTATCATAATGCTTCCAGACACAATTTTTCGTTCGACTGCTTCAGGGAAACTCAACCGAACTGGCCACCAGACGCTTGCCTTTGAAGATGAAAACTGTGGAAAAACATAGGAACAGTGGCCCCGACGCCCAAATAGTCACACACGATCTTGAAATCCTGCAAGAAGGCGACCAAATTTGGGTGCAACTGAGATGGAGCAAGACGGAAATGCCTGAAGACCGCCACCTGGAAATCCAAGAAGGGGAGCTGAAAACCCATCTCTTTGAACGGGATATCATACATAGGGAACCATCGAGCTTCGAACTCCGAGCAGATCCGACTTTTCTTATTTGGGATGTATATCGCCCACTGCTCCTCGGCACCCTCACGATCCATCTCTGGGTCCACCGATGTAAAGATATCGTCAGAATACTCGATAAAGTGAGAAACATACTTCAACGGACCCGATGCGAACCAAGACAATGGACCTTCCTCGACCACGGGCTCACTTGGACCTACTCGTTCAGTAGGAGCCATCTCCATGTCCCCCTCTATGGCCTGTTTCTCAGACAACCAAGGCTCCAGCATTCTCGGAGTAGACTCATACGCCCATAAGTTCTCGTCTCGCTTGTGGTTTCCTCGGTAGAACTCTGGGCAGAACCACTAGGCTCATTGAGAAACTCGTCGTCGATGCTGGTAGTCATTGTACCTAAAAAGAAGAGGATAATAGTGAGTTTGATGTCAACGTCAAATTCACCCTTCCATCACTAATCAAGTGAAAGGGCACCAAGGAACGAGGACCCTGTCCCCGACCAGAATCCTCACTTAAACGACTACCAGACGATCTCCCTTCCCCGACCAGGTCAGCTGGATTCATGTAAAAGTTTCCTACATTCGTCTGATGCCACTAAGGTTCCAAAAACTCCTCCGGGGAGGACACTTGGTATCCTCGACAACCTCACCCGCCAGAACCTCCGTTGCCAGCCAACATTTCGCCAGAATTTCTAAGAAATCAATAACCTTAAACCCTAACCGCGTGCATTTTCTAAGGAAAAAACCTTAAAATCTAAACTATAACGAAAGTGACAATCACAAAAACAAGAGGAATTAAAGAAAGCTTATCGGATTCAGTAAAGGAATAGCGAGAATAGACGGCGGCGAACAGTGGAACAAATGAAAATCTAGAAAACAGATGAAGTCAAGCAGGTACCGATGAAGTTAGGCAAGAACGAAGGTATCGAGCAGCTAAAAGACATGCGAAAAGTATATATGAAGCTCTCTCCCTTCTTATTATAGGTTGGGCTCACCAGCGTGTGGGCGAACACGCACCTAAGGGACTCTAAAGGGTGTCATCATTACGCCTTATCCCCTAGGCCAGCCATCATCACGCCTATATGACAACATACAATTTGATGCATATGAAACACGCAACCTATCCAGATTCCTCTCCCCGGTAACTAAACACCGGACAAATTTCTAAACTCCTCGTACAACATTGCTCCTCGAAACAAATCGCCCAACTGTTCCCCTCCCTGTGAGGCAAACATGACGAATATCATTTATACCCCTCAAGAAATGTCGACCAAGAAGCATCCCTATTTTGCAGGCTGATTCTAAGTCATCACTCTTGTGCCCAGAAGCAACGACTTAGGGAGCTCCTTTTCTGGATTGGCTTAATGACGAGAATTGGCTCAATCCGCTTCTACCCTTGGCATGGCCTAACAACGACGGCCTAGCATTCTTGTTGACCACGCCTCTGAGCACATGACCAGCAATACCCGACACACATCCTGATCCAGTCAATCGTTGTCTCACTATCAACCCGACACGAGTCGAGCATACAACCAAGAAACACCCAGAACGCATATTTGCCCATAATTTTCCTCCTCCTTGAATCCAATGGCTAATTACGGACACACTTGCTCGTTTTGACCGAGTCTTGACAGTTACCTATTTTTGCTGACCTACATATCTAGGCTTAAAAATAGGGACCAATGGTCAAGTGCCAAGGGCATTATATAAACTCTCACGCATGTGAGGGCCAGATATCCAATATTCATCTATGAAACCCTAATACTTTGCTTGTATCTCTTGGCTCCCACACTTACTTGATCGTCAAAGTTCCTTGCAAGTATAACCCTCCATTTTCATCGACTTTTCCAGCCCATCAAAGATCATCCTCCGGCCAGCTTGCAGGTTCTGATCAACTGGTAAGATCAAATTGCATCATAATTTTACAATAATTCATAACATAAACATAGCAAATACATTTAGGAGTTAAACATAAATCAAACATTACAAATCAACGTCCAGGTGGATGTTGCAATATCATGATAATATCATCGGCTGATCTTGTTATAGTCACATCTAGCTCGATAAGAACTTTCTCCTCAAAACTGTCAAAAGTATTCCACATAGCCTATAAATTAGCGTCATTCTTTAGCTCACGGTTGATGGACTCAAGCTTTCCATCTTTGTCAATCGATGGTGAGCGGTACTCAATCTTCACTACCTTGCGATTGTCGCCATAAGGTACAAGTTCCTGCAATATTTCACGCACATCTTCAATAGGGCTGTACACGGTGAACTTAAATTCGTGAGATGGTGTAACACCGATAAAGTGGACAACTCCGGCATGCCATTTGGTGTTCAATTTCAAGTCCATTTCTGGTTTTTGATGTTGTGGTATGAAAAAAATATAAGAAGTGAGGTTTTTATAGTAGTTTGAGGTAAACATGAAACATACAAAATTCAATCTTCCTGTAATAAAATCAGAAATAGAATTCCGGTTTAGAACCGGAAGTATACCCCCGATGCCGTTTTTTGTATTTTAAAGGATGAAACCATATTTGATCAGTTTTGTGCAAAATATGATGCGAACCGGAAATGCATTTTTGATTTTCCGAAAAGCAATTTCGAAATTACATAAGGTGTTCTTTTCTATATGGGGTGGAATAAGAAATTTCCAAGAAATAATGCACATGATAACTAATCGTGTCATGTAATTTTAGGATGGGTATGGATAAATAAGGATAACTAATTAATTAAATTATAAAAGAAAAAAAATAGAAAAAGAAAAAGAAAAAGAAAAAGAAAAAAAAAGAAACCGTTGATTGAAAGGGAGAGGAAGTTGAAGTAACCGCTAGTGACTGGGGGTGTGTAGATAAGTGAAACGAATGAATTGGCGAAAAGTATATATGAAGCTCTCTCCCTTCTTTTTATAGGACGGACTCACCGGCGTGTGGGCGAACACACACCTAAGAAACTCTAAAGGGTGTCATCATTACGCACCTAAAAAACCTACCTCTTTCTGAAATTATATGTTCTATTCCGTATAAAAATATTGTCTCTTAAGTAAGTCTCTTTCTTCATTTTATGACATGTAACATGAATAGTCTTTCACATGCAGGATTTACTGAAACAAGGAATGGGTGTTTTGGGACAAGCTTCCTAGAGAAAACTTCTACTTCATTTAATAATAAAAAGACCTTTATAAGATTATGTCCTAATGCATCAAAATATGTATTCTGGGATGCTCTTCATCTCTCAGAGACTGCAATCAAGTTTGTGGCATATGAGATGTTTTCTAATGGAATCTCCCTTATATCGTAATCAAACACCTCTAAGGTCGTACACCTAAAGTTGTGAATACCTAAGCTATACATCATTTATGTATTTTCAATAACGTGATGTGGCGTGTAATGTGTGATGTATATGCAAGTTTGCATGTGTGTTAATTAATATATAAATAAATTTAAACTAATTTGAGTTTAATGGGAAAAAGTATATTTAAGACCAAACTGTTTGGATTGTCGTTTTATTTTTAATTCTTAATATTTGATGATGTTTCAGTGCAAATTGACTCGAAAGGAAGAGTAAAAGATGAAACTAAAGTTTTTTTATTTTATGTACAAGATTGCTCTTATTCTATTTTTTATTTTTATTTTTGTTTTGATGTGCCGCAGACTAAAAATTTTAACTTGCTTTTGAAATCATTTGATTTTTGTTTCGACTTTTCTTACAATGCCAACGCTTCTTTGCAGTTTAATTTGATGAAATGTAAAATTCAAATTATAACTAAGCTTTTAAAAATTTCGAAATTATATAAGGTGTTCTTTTCTATATGGGGTGAAATAAGAAATTTCCAAGAAATAATACACATGATAACTAATCGTGTCAGGTAATTTTAGGATGGGTATGGATAAATAAGGATAACTAATTAATTAAATTATAAAAGAAAAAGAAAAAGAAAAATAAGAAACCGTCGATTGAAAGGGAGAGGAAGTTGAAGTAACCGCTAGTGACTGGGGGTGTGTAGATAAGTGAAACGAATGAATTGGGGAAAAGTTTTGATTAGTTGATTGAAAACAGAGAGATGAAATATGAGAGAAGAAGATAATTCCTCGGATCATAGTAGTGTCGAATTCATCATGAAAGATCACCACCATCAACATCAACCTCCATCTTCTTCTTCTCTTCCCGGAAAAAAGAGAAAAGAAACCGAATCATCATCATCAGGTATCATCAACAACGATAACAACAACACTCCTCGTGCTTGTACTGAATGCGGCAAGAAATTCTGGTCATGGAAAGCTCTTTTCGGTCACATGCGCTGTCATCCTGAACGTCAATGGCGCGGTATCAATCCTCCTCCAAATTTCCGACGACACCAACAACAGCATTATCGACAACAACCGTATACTCACAGTCACAGTCATAGTTACGGTACTACTTCTTCCATGACGCCGGAAGATCACGAAGTTGCTGCTTGTTTGCTTTTACTTGCAAATTCAAATTCGAAGATGAACAACAACAGTATCAACAAAACGGCGAAGCTTAAGGCGGTTGCGGCGGTTACTACGGTTGGTACTACGGTGGATGATTCATCTTCGGTTATGGATCAAGAGAATAATAATAATGCTCATTTTGTGTGTTCGTGTTGTAACAAGGTGTTTGGATCGCATCAGGCTCTTGGAGGACACAGAGCAAGTCACAAGAATGTGAAAGGCTGTTTCGCCAATACAACAACTTCTTCACCACCACCACCAACAACAACAACAGTAACCGCTTCCGGTAGTAGGATGCTGACGTGGACACAACAAACTCAAGGCGGAGGAGGAGATCATGCTTTTGTTAGTGGTGGTGATCATGATGAATATAACCACCACCAGGCGATGATGAATTTGATGACGGTGCCGCGTGACGGTTACAATGCTGACGTGGAAGGGGAAACGGTTATTGAGAGTAGTGGAGGAGGGGGAGGACATAAGTGTGGTATATGTTTGAGGGTATTTACAACTGGACAAGCACTTGGTGGACATAAGAGGTGTCATTTTGATTCATCTAATTCCATTGCTGCAACGACTTCTAACAAATCATCATCATCTCTTAATGTTGATTTGAATTTCCCTTTTCCACCTCTTCCTCCTCCACCTCCTGATCATGCTGATCCTCCTCTCACTCTTGATTTAAAGTTAGGACTTTGATTTTAGTTACTATTAATATTGTTTTAGTTAATTAGTGTTATTGTTACTCACTGTTTAAGTTCATTCAACAATTCTCATACTATACTTATTGATTAACTTTTAATGTGTGTTTATGTATTGTTTATTTCATGTTCTATGCAAACAATTACGCTATTCTTGTATACCTTATAGATGGAATCCAACGTTTCCTTCAAATAAAATTTAACCACCTACAACTTTCCACTACTACTCATATTTATTTTATTTTTCATTTTTTATAAATTTTAAATTAAATAAATATTGTAAATATTCTTAAAAATTTTAGTTTTTAACCAAACACTTATATAAGAATATTATTTCTAAAAATAATAATTCTAAAAATAAAATTTCAAAGAACAATATTTTATAACTTAAAACAAAGATATTCATATATTAATTTTTGCTTAAAGGGACTTCACGTCTCTATCAACTAGTTGTGAAAATAAAAATATTTTATTTGTTGACAAAAAAATAATATTTCATTTTATATTTAAATATGTGATTTTTATATATTTATATTTTCGTGTAAATACATATAATTATATATAGAGACTAATTTTAAGATACAACTTAATTTTTAAGAGTTTAAAGATATCAATGTACAATATTTTACTTACATAATCAATTAAAACTCTTATATTTATCATATTTTTTTAATATTTTAAAAATAAAATTAAGATTTTTTATGATACATATTTTTATTAGTTAATATTATAAAAATATTTTAGATTATCAGTCCATTTTCTCTTTTTTCAATTTTCAAATGCACCAATTAAATATATAACATTTTAGATTTAGCATTGGAATTATTAACAATAATAGAGTCGATGCATGACATGACCTTCAAGCAAGTGTTTTCTCAATGACATTCAAAATATTTTCCTTTGTGTTTCGAATATGGACATCAAAATGTAAACTTTTAAATCAATTTATGTAATCTTTAATGAAATATTTATAATCTAACGAAAATAAAAGTAAATTCTTATTTACCAAATTGAAAAGTTGAATAATCTTATCAATCTTATGTGTCAAATAAATCTACCAATTGTCTTTTTACTATCTATGTCATTAACAAAAGATGTTTTAAAAAAAATCTTATTAATTTATGTGATTATATTAATAAATTAAGAGTTTAATATCGTCCAATAATAAATCAACAATTTATTATATTATTTAAATAATTTTAAAATATTAAAGCGATTTGACAGAGTATAAAATATTCATTAATTGACTGTACAAAATTATTTTACACTAGCAAAATATATACTATTTTCTCATAAATTAATAATAAAAAACAAATATATTTTACTAAATTAATAAATTAATTTATGTAATTATAAGTATAACGCTTTAAAATATACTCTAGAATTAATTAAGTTCGTTTTTCTCTCTTTATTTTTTAAAATTGTCTGACATCATAACTAATTAATTTTATTTTTCTCTCTTAAAGCTCAACATTTTTTCACCTATATGAAAAGAAAATCTCTATTTTCCATTCTTTTAGTTGTATTTTCTCTTATCAAATTCACATCTACACGCCTTCTTTTTTTCTCTCTCTCAATTCATTAAAACCCTAAAACAATCATGGCCAAGATTGAGATAAACAAAATAATAAAATGTATATAAGGTAAAAAACACTTTTTTAATATTATTAGATCTCAAATTGAATAGTCGTAAGACTGAGATTTTTGGGTTTTGTGTGATGGTAGTAAACTTTGTGAGGAGTTGTTCTCTTCGAACATTGGAAGATCGATGTTGAGGATGAAGTTGAATGAAGGGGTTGTTAGTCGAGATGGAGAAATTTATTAAAGGATGAGAGAGTGGCCATGGCATTGAGTTAATGCGTCTTAAGCTACAATTAATGGATCTTTAGAATGCGTTTCTTCATACTTTGATCACATATTGATATCGTCAAACTATTTTTTAACCAAAGAATGTCTCACCTTAATCATATGGTGGAAACAACTATTTAACTTGATAGAGAGTTGCAAAGGAAAATTGAAAACATCATGGTTGGTGGAGGTATTTTCTTCGGGACCTTCAATGGAGGAAGACTTCTTTACTTATTACAGTTAGAGGACTGAGTCTATACTCAGAAGTAGAGGTTGTGTGATATGTTTTTGTGACTTATAGGATCCAATCTTGGGTGTCACATTATCATATATTGAGAGACAGTGGGATATTTGGTAAGAAATTTGATTTTGATAAAATTTTGAATGGTCTTAGTGGTGCGATTCTAAATTTTGACCTTAGAAATTTGACTAGCGAGGACACCATCTTTCCTAAAGCAAAACATATTTTGGCGAATGCCCTTTTTGTTATAAGTGCTCATGAAATTAACACAAAGTTTGGCATGATCACAAGATAAAAAATATTTTTTTAATTTTTTGCGAGAAACACATGCTGAAGATTTTCTCCTTGTTATTCCTATTGAAGGGTGCCAACATATGTCACTAAGAGAGTATTGTATTTATCCTTAGATATCGCCTTATGGTCCCTTTTTTCCCCTATTAATGAGGTTTCCTGATTTATCACAAGTCATGCTTGGATACATTTGGGAAATATGTCATTCATTGTAGGGAACTTCCCTACTTCAATACCGACACGACTTTGTTAGAGATGTCTTATTTGATATATTTTGACTGGTCAGTGTATTTGTTAAAAAGATCTGCATCTGTGAGTTTCTTGACTAATCCACAAGAGGGGATATCGACACTTAAGTTAAGAGATATTATGGTGTACGAATGGATAGGAGAGAAACATACACGTGTAGACTTGACTGAGATTTTTCATTGGTGGGACTGACAATTAGAGGTTTTATTGTGGCACAGGTAGTCCTCAAAGTTGCTTTAAGTAAAGTGATTAAACATGAAAAGTGTGTTTCGACAATCAACATGCTTTCATACCATCAATATTTTACACTTTTGATTTCTTAACACTAGAGACAACAACTCTTTTACAGAAAATCTAAAAACTTGTATGTGTCTCTTAAGACAATAGATATAATTTTTAAAAGAATTAATTTTATTAGAGAAAAAAAAAGAGTAATCATACGACTTGTTATATGTATACTTTTATTTTTTTATAATTCTTTTTGCATGTAGACAACGTGGCAATAACTACTAGTAACACACAATTTTGAAATAATCCTTTCAATAAATATTAACATTATTTACTTTTCATTTTAACCAACATTATGATCCTTTTATTTTTTAATGAATAATGAAATTATGTTATTTGATTCACAGCCGACTTTAATTTAAAGTTTAATAGAATTTATTTTCGAACAACAATTAAAGAATGAGCAAGTTTTCAAAAATTAAATATAACCCGAGAACTTTGAAAAAGGGAGAAAGTCCCTTCAATTAAGTTTAATTTAAAGTATCTCTTTTTCTTTTTATGCCTTGGAAAAAAAACCAGTATTCTTAAAGGTGTGAAAACGTGTTATCCAACCCTAATGTCTCTCGGTGTATAGAAATGAGTCAAAAACAGTTATAATCAGTGGTGGAATCAGACATTTTAGATAGTCTAGACAAAATTGAAATATGCTATATTTTTGTCCCTTTAACCTAAATTTTCTAAAATTTTCAAATTTTCAAATTTTCACACTTATTTTTTTATTAGGTTTGTCTAAAAAAACAGCTATTAAATTAAGAGAAATATAAAGAAAGTAGAGGTTAAGTTCGGACGTGTGCCCGAATTTATTAGACTATAAAATTGTCCTTAATTATAATATGAATTTGAAATGTAATACCCGATTCTGTCCCTACACAAATTACAAAATATTTGATTTTAAATTGATAATTTTTATTTTTTATAAATAAAAATAATATTTATTATAAGTATTAAAATATAATATATAAAGTATATTACTTTAAACTTCATATATTTTTAACTACTATATTTTTATTTTTAAAATGATATAACATATTTTTAAGTATAATACAAATATGAAACTGTTCAAAATAATACACAAATATTCTTCATATAACAAAAACTAATAGAATCTAAGAAAGTTGTGAAGTGGCATATGAAATAATTTAATATTAACTCCATTAAATTAATTTATAATATTTAATATATGAATAATAATATAATAGAAGATATAAAATTTATGATGCAAGACAACTTAATATATTGTTTTTTGGTGAAACAACAAAATTATTGGGATAATTAATATTTTTTCACTATGCAGGTTAATTAGACTACCTGTGGTCTAAATGAGTTAGTCAAAATAGGTAGTAGATTTTTTATGGTTGTATCGTAAAAACTCTTAAAAAATATGTGCTCTAATTCACCCAAGGTCAAACCATATGATTTATTGGGTTTGGGGAGTAGACCCATAAATCTATTTTAATGATTTTATTTATTTATTGATCTTTAAATTAAATTAACAAATGTTACTCTCTTTATAGTATTCTCTTTATAAGATTCAACACTTTTTTATATTTTAAAAATTTATTTTTAATATTGCATTTATATAAAAATTTCTGCAACTATAACGAAGAATCAGATCGATAAATAATTAATATTTAAATAAAAATTATAATGTAATACTAAGATACATATTATCGTAAAAGTGGCTCCTCTTGAGGACAACTATCAAATTCTAATCCCTTTAACAGTTCTTCTAGTAGAAAAGCCCATACTAATGAGTCTTCCTTGGCCTAAAAGTGAGCAAGCGCGAGGGTCCTCCCGCCCGTGTGATGGTAAAGTTATTCTCAGGCCTTCGTTCATGAAGATTGGAAAAGGTTTCGAGAAGAGGTCACAAGAAAGAGTGTCGGGGATATATAGTGATCCTTATTTCAACGAACCTGCCTCCAAGACACCAGAACAAGGAGAGTGTAGCTCGAGGACAATGACACTCTAGCGATTTGAATGTTCTTATTTACCGTGAAACGGATTGCTGGAAGTCACTATAGGCATGGCTTTGAGATTGTCGTGTTGGAGTATTTTTAGTTACGTTACAACTCATATCAAAG